CCACCTGGTCCACCACAATCCCCTTCTGTTCTCAATAGGACTCTGGACATTGGTTCTCCAGGCCTTCCTCCATCACTGGGTGTGGGACCACCTGTGCCTGGGCCTCACTCCCACACCACATTCTGCCTGTCCAGCATTGGAAAGAGAAAAATTGCATGAGTTGGACTTCATCAAAATGACCAACTTTTGTTGCCAATTGACACTATTGCAAAAGTGAAAAGTCAACCCATTTCCTGGTAGAAAATATTTGCAAATCATAGATCTGATAAGGGTGTAGTATCCAACATACGTAAAGAACATTTACAACTCAAAAACAAAGAGAAACAATCCAATCAAATAATGAGCAAAGGACTTGAAAAATAATCCTCCAAAGAAGATATACAAATGGCCAGTAAGTCCATGAAAAAATTAGCAACATCATTAGTCGTTACATAAATGCAAATCAAAACCACTATGAAATACCCTTTTACCCCCACTTGTTGTTAGTGCCGTGGAGTCGATTCTGACTCTTAGTGACCCTGCGGACAGCAGAGTGGAAGCCTGCCTGGTCTTTCTGCACCATCCTCTCACCTTCCAGCACCATATTAGACAATGCTACACTGCCCTTCATAGGGTTTTTATGGCGAAATTTTTCAGAAGTTGGTGGCCAGGTCCTTCTTCCTAGTCTGTCTTAGTCTGGAAGCTCCACTGAAGCCTGTTCACCATGGGTGACCCTGCTGGTGTTTGAAATATTGGTGGCATAGCTTTCAGCAACACAGTAACACTCAGTTGACATATTATGACAATGATAGATGGGTGGTGTGGTTCCCTGATGGGGAAACGAACCCGGGTTGCAACAGTGAAAGAGCTGAATCTTAACGACTAGACCACCATGCTGGCTCTTCACATCCACTAGTGGGATATAATTTTTTTTTTTTTAAAAAAGGAAAACAATATTGGCAAGGATGTGGAGAAATTGGAACTCCTGTATGTTGCTGGTAGGACTGTAAAATGCAGTTGCCACTGTGGAAAATAGTCTGGCATTTCCTCAAAAAGTTAAACATAGAAACTACCTTTTGACCCAGCAATTCCACTCCTAGGCAGGTATATGTCCCATAAAACTGAACAAAAGCACGTACACCAATGTTTATAGCAGCGTCATTCACAACAGCCAAAAAGTGGAAACATGCCAAATGTCCAACAACTAATTAATGGATGATCAAAACATGGTACATTTATGCAGTGGAATGTTATTCAGATAAAAAAGAGAGAATTACTCACACGTGTTACATGGATCATCCTTGAAAACATTTTCTTAAGTAAAAGAAGTCAGACACAAAAGGACACATTTTGTATGATTCCACTTATACGAAATGTCCAATACTGGCAAAAGCCATGGAGACAGAAAACAGATTAAGGGTTGCAGGGGCTGGGGGACGGGAGTATGGGGAGTGACTGCTTCATGGGCACAGGGTTTCTCTTTGGGCTGATAAAAATGTTGGATGGATGGAATTAGATGGTGGTGATGGTTGTACTACATCGTGAATGTGCTAAAAGACACCTACTGCACATTTGGAAATGGCTCAAGTAGTGATTTTATTTTTAGTGAATTTTTCCTCAATAATAAAATAATGCACATAGAGTTTTAAAAACTATATAGAGATACTGATATTCACCTGCTACTGTCAAATTCAAAAGGTTTCACCTTATACTGAGTTACTGAAAATACACACTTCAATCTTCTGCACAGCAAAGGAAACCATAAACAAAATGAAAAGACAACCAATTAAATGGAATGAAATATTTGCAGATTATATATTTGACAAACAGTTACTTTCCAAAATATATAAAGAACTCATACAACTCAACAAGAAAAAAATGAGAAGCCTGATCAAAAAACGGGCAGAGGAAATGAACAGACATTTTTCCAAAGAAGATACAAAGATGGCCAACAGGCACATGAAAAGATCCACATCACTAATTATTAGGGAAATGCAAATCAGAACTACTATGAAATATCACCTCACATTTGTCAGAATGACTATTATTAATAAGACAATAAATAACAAGTGTTGGAGAGGCTGAGGAGAAAAGGAAACCCTCATACACTTTACCTTTACACACAGTGCAAACTGGTGCAGCCACTATGGAAAATAATGTGTAGATTTCTCAAAAAATTAAAAATAGAAATACCATATCATCCAGGGAGTGGGGTGAGGGTGGAAAGGTTAAAGAGACACATATGTATGGTGATGGATAAAAACTAGACTATTGGTGGTGAACTCGATGCAGTCTATACAGAAACTGATGTATAATAATTTATGCATGAAATTTACACAATGTTACAGGGCAACATGACCTCAACTAACAAAAAAAGGTGCAACTACCAGCTGAGATGTGAAATGACCCTGTGTGCTCATGGAAAAACAAATAGTTCTGTGAGGTTTGAGTGAATGAGTGCATTTGGAAGTGTTTGCATATGAGGCTAGTAGAAGAAATCATGGGAGACTTAAAAATATTATGATATTAGAATGGTAAAAGTCAAAGGCATGAAAGGAAATATTGATAAATGTGACCAGTGGTTTACTAGTAAATGTTTAACAACCAGCTCACTCATGGTGGTGTGGAGGGGAGGGGGGGAGTCCTGATTTGTAGCATTTGTCAATTTCCTTGGTGTAAATACTCTCATCTTGGCCAATTTAAAATGCCCAATTTGAAGTCACTGAACCCAGAGTTGGGAAAAGACGGACACATTAGTTCATGCCATACAGTCAGAGCCAACAGTACACCACTCAATGTGACTCAGAAGAAAAATGCATGTTTTTGCCTGGAGAAATCACCATATGCTAAGTCAAATGGTCATCAACAGATTGGAAATCAGTCCTTTCAACTAACACACAGATGATGTCCTTAATATGAAAAGAGCTTCTTCAAACCTTAAGAAAAAGTTTACCAAGAAATACAAGCGGTTCTTCAACGTACTGGAAGATCTCAACCTAGTCCCAAAATGATACTGCAGCTTAACATTACAGTGAATTCACTTAGGATCTGCAAGGATGAATATATTCAGCAGGGAAGGAGGCACACTGCAGGCAGGAGTATAAACAGAACCACCTCCATGCAGTGGGATTTGACAATATCTGTAGAAATCACACACATGCCCTTTGATCCAGGACTTTCTTCTCTAGAAAATTATCTGACAGACACACGCACACACCTGGGGAACGTTCATACAAGTTCTTCAGTGCAGTGTTATTTGTCTGAGCCGAAGACTGGAAACACCATAGCTTTCCACCAATGGGGGACCAATTAAGTACTTTATAGTACAATATACTTCCCATTGGAAAACCATGGAGTCATCAATCACAATGAAGAAAGTTTCCTTACTGATACAGAAAGATCTCCAAGATAGACTGAGTGTGAGGAAAAGAGGAATTTAGTTCACAGAAATGTACGAATGTCAAGTCCTTAGTTGAGATAAATGTGCCAAGGTGATGTGGGATTTTAATGATGAGGGAAGCTGGGTGAGGGATTATGGGAAACTCTGTGTACCATGTAAATCTAAAATTACTCTATATGAAATGTTTACTAAAAATAATAATAAAGATGCAGAGCAGTGTGTCTAGTATGATGTGTATGCAAGTGTGTGTGTTTAAATATATATGCATGGGCTATATTTGGAAGATAGCCAAGAGGGAGGTCCACAGGGTTCTGAATTATGTTTTATTCTTAATAAATTTTGCTAGAGACTGAATTCTGTTTCCCCCATACTCATATGTTTAAGCTCTAACCCCTGGTGTGGTGGTATTTGGAGGTATCTGGGTGGGCCTTTGGGAGGTGATTAGGGTCAGATGAGGTCAAGAGAGTGGGGCTCTCATGATGACGTTGATGCCCTTATAAGAAGAGACACCAGAGAGCTGGCTCTTTCTCAGTCCTGTGAGGACGCAGCCAGAAGGCAGTCATCTACAAGGCAGGAAGAGAGCCCTCACCAGGAACCAAACGGCTTACACGCTGATCTTAGACTTCAAGACTCCAGAACTGTGAAGAATAAATTCCTGTTGTTTAAACCACCCAGTCTGTGGTATTTTGTTATGTCAGCCTGAGCAGACTAAGGTACATTTTATGTTTGCTGTTTTAAACACTAACATTAAAGTGATCAAAGGTGGCTGGAGGAGTATGCGGGGTCCAGATCCTAAGGAGAATGAGGGCAGGATTTGGGATGGGTATGTGTCCCTGGCATGGGGACAACACATCCACTGGGCATGGAAGAGTCCATGCAAACCCCCTGAGAGCAGGGTCAGGGGTCAGGGGAGGCCAGGGTGTAAGCTGATGATTGAGTGGGGGGCTTCACATCTCCCTACACCTGGCCTGAGCCTTCTTTCCATCTGAGTTCTGAACCCCAGTTCTGCTGTGAAGGCAGGAGACGGACCCCTCTTTCATTACAACCCCCTGAGAGGAGAGGTTGGGCCATACCTGTGCCTTCTTTCTGGAACACGCTGATGTTCAGGTTCAGGGACACATCTGGACAGACAGACATAATTGTTCCCGTTTCAGTGGCAGGAAGGTGAGTGTTGGCCCCTTTCCCCCAGAACTTTAGAAATAGGAAGGGGGTGGAGTCTTGTGTCCTCTTTCCTTCCTCCCCAGAACCAGCTTGCAGGACCCAGCACCCAGTACCCCAGGCCCTGCCCTCTTCCCCTCCCCCACACCCACCGCCCTCAGGGACCTGGCTGTCCTGGCCTGGCACTCACAGGACACATTGAGCTGGATGGTCCTCTCCGTGCTCACACCAGCTCTGGGAAAGGTCACTCGACAGGTGAGGTTGGTGCCATGGTCCTGGGGCCCTGGGATGAGGGTGAGCACTGAGGAGTGGGGAATGTTGGGGCCCAGGGAGGTGAGGGCAACCCCAATCCAGGAGAAGGTGGGGGGCGTTCCCCTCTCACAGGCCCATGGCACTGTACACGTAATGTTCTTGGGGTGGCCAGATTCTAGGGTCCCCTGCATGTGGATGTCAGGCGTCTGCGTCAGAGCTGAGGAGGAGACAGATAGAGACCCAGGCCTGGAGGTGGGGACCCTAAGCGTGACCCTAAGAGCAACCTCTGCCTCAGGCCAGCCAACTCCTCCCCAGCCAGCCCTAGCGCCTGTCCTGGGTCTCCCTGGGTCCCTCCCAGGAAGAGAAGCAAGGGTCCTCTCCTGGCCCTGTCCTGGGGGCCCTCAGAACCCATCCATGTGTTGTCTCCTTGACCCCATTCCTTACCTGTCACAAGCACTGAGAGTAGGTTCTCTTTGTAAGTATATCTCACATAAGGCCCTCTTTCCACCCTAAAGAAGTATCTCCCCCCATCCCCTCTCTGTGCATCTCTGATGTCCAGGGAGCAGTTGTAGGTCCAAGGGTCCCAGAGGAGGAGGAATCGGCCCTGGGTCTCTTTCTGCACTGCACGACCTGGGTTGTTTGTGGCCACAAGAGCATCCTGCTGTGGATTTGCTCCTTCTCGGAACCAGTAGCCGTGAGCTGGTGCAGGGTCAGTCCAGTAGTCCCTGGGATGGGAGAAGGTGCAGGGCACAGAGACGCACAGCCCCTCCTGCACCGTCACAGACCGCTGCACTTGCAGCCAGAATCTCCTATCCTGAGGCAGGGATCCTGCAGGGAAACAAGGTCAGCCACCATCCCCACCTGCCAGTCCCCTCTCCCCTGGACCCACTTACCTGCCCACAGCAGGGACAGCAGCAGCAGCAGCAGTAGTGACATCTCTGGGGTAAGAGCCACAGGGACTTGGTGTCACAGGACTGAGAGGAAGCCCCAGCAGGAAGCCCATGCTGAGGTCAGACAGGTGACTGACCACAGAAGAGGAACTTGGCACCCACACACTGCAGGAGCTGGCATGGCCCTTGGAGATAACTTCTACTTTCCAGATGGGGTCCTGATGAGGGTCAGACACAGCAAAGAGGATCTGACCTGCTGCTCCCAGCTCCCTCTCCATGACCTGTCCCTCCTCTGCCGCTGGCCACACCAGGAGAGCAGACACTGCCTGGCCAATCACAGCTTCTAGATGAGCGTCAGTACCACCAGGTGTGGACTCAGTGGTGGGGAAGAGTGGGAAACTAAAGGGGAGAAAGATGGGGATGGGTCTCCCCACCCCTGAGAGAGGGAGGTGGTGAGAAATGAATGAATGAACACGACAACGGCATCTTGAGCATCTACTCCTTTCTGGGGAGTGGAGTCACGGGGGACAATGGGACAGACTTTGTCTCTGTCCTTGAAAACTTCTCTAACACCTGAGGAGGCAGAGAAACCCCAGGCCCTTCCAGCTCCTGATGGGTCAGTGTATGATGGTGGAAGCACAATTGTAGGAACCCGATTGCCCTGTGCAGCCAGAAGGACAGTTCCCACGTAGAAATGGCAGAGTGGACGGGATCAGGATTCCAAGGGGGTCACAAGGGGACCCCCATGAGTGATCGTGGGGCTTCCTGATCTCCTCACAGCCCACTGCTCCAGGCATCCCTGGTGTTGACTGCACAGGCCAGGCCTGAGAGCCAGGCATTTGGAGCAAGATGAGAGCACAGCGTGACTTTGGGGGGAAGCCTCAGCTTTGGAGTCAGGGGTCTGGCCCTTCTCCCCTCCAAGTCTCAGTTTCCTCATCTGTCACCTGGAAGGATCCCAATTCTCGGCCCTTGTCTACGGGAGAATCCAATATAGGAACGGAGGTGGGCAGTCCTGCAGGTCAAGGGCCTGGCCCTGCCCCCTCTTCAGTGATCATTCTGAGTCCCACCTTCAGCGAGAAGCTCCTGGTGGTCAGCATTGCCCTGGGGCTCCCTCATCTGAGTTCTCCAATGAGGGAAAAGAGGCATGGGCTCTGTAAGCAGATCACCACGGCCTCGAGTCTGGCTCCCTAATGCTTGCTGTGCTGCCTTGGGAATGGGTTTAACCACTCTGTGCATGGTCGGGTGCCTATGCACACAGGTTGTTATGGGCTGAATTGTGTCACCTCCAAAATTCATATGTTGAAGCCCTAACCCCCAGTATATCTGAATGGGACTGTCTTTGGAGATAGGACCTTTAAAGGGTAATTAAGTCAAGTGAGGTCTTTAGGATAGGCCCTAACTTAATAGGACTGGTGCCCTTACAAGAAGAGGAGATTAGGACACAGACATGCACAGAAGGAAGACCATGTAAAGACACGGGGGGAAAAATGGCCGTCTGCAAGCCAAGGAGAGAGGTCTCAGAAGGAACCCTACCGACATCTTGATCTTGGACTTCCAGTCTCCAGACTGTAACAAAATGAATTCCTCTTATTTAAGTCACATAGTCTGCGATATCTTATTACATCATCCCAAGGAAACTAAAACATGGGGTCACCAAGAAGATAAATGTGTTCATGCAAGTAAAGTGCTCTGAGCAGCCTAGTCCGGCCCACAATGGACACAGGTCACACAGTGTGGCCACTCTGAGGAGGGAGGAGAAAAGGGAAGGGAAATGTTTGGTGACCAAGGAAACCTCTGCTTTTCCTCCGGGCACCAGCTCTGAACTGTACAGGGCTCTTACTTCACCCCGGCCACACTTCCCCTCTTCTCCCCAGGACAGGACAGGCTCCATGGGCCTCTGCTGGGGCTGCTCCCTCTGCTGGCTGAGCCTGTCACCGCTCCTGCATCCTGGGCACCTATCAGCCACCTGTTGAGTCAAGTGTTCTATGGGGCATAGCTGAGGGAAGGCTGACCCTGGAGGAGCACTAGTGGGGCCAGGATGTAGGAACAGATATACATTCACGGCCTGGCGTGGTCAGGGCTGACCCAGCAGAGAGTACGGGGCTGTGAGAGCCTGAGGAGGGAGTGAGGATGTGGCTGGAGGATGTGACAGGTGAGCTGGGAGCTGGAAGGCGAACAAGGTTGTCTGGGAGGTAAGTTCATCCTCCAGAGAGCAGACCCAGAGCCAAGGACGCAGGTGTGAGCAGACAGGGAGCCCCTGCAGCTCCCCCTGCAGCCCCCCACCAGTGCCCTTGCCTCAGTCAGCTCTTCAGCCTCTCAGCTCCAGGATCCAAGGAAATCTGAGTCTGAACTCCTCCAACATATCTCCTCCTCCTCCTCCTCTTCCTTCTTCTTCTCTTCTAGGGAAGGGGATGGTAACTGAGTCACCCGATGAGCTCTGCAGCTAACATTGCTCCTTGCTGTCCCATGTGGGGACCCTGGTTCCCTCCTGTCCGGGTCCCTTCATCAACATACGGGTTTCCAGGAAGACATCTCACAGGCTTCCTCAGGGAAGCTAGGGTCCGGGCAGGAGCTGGAGTATCCAAAGGGATGTTCTATGAGGGCTGGAATGAGTCCCAGAGTGTGGGAAGAACTTTCCAGGCACCTCGGAGGGCCTCTCAGTATGTCCCATGAACTCCACTCACAGCCCCATAGGATCCTCACAGCAGGACCAAAGGGGTGCTCCAGGGACAGAAGCCACTTAGCAGCTGGGCCCCCCATACTGGCTGTGACCCCAGAGCCCACTCTTCTTTGCCTTCTGCTTCTTTGTCCCCCACTCCTCTCAGGTGAGTCCACTTCCCTTCTCACCTCTCTTGCCTTCATGTCTCAGTCTTTCCAAAGGCTGAGAGATGATCCCACCTTCCCTGTCCATTCTCCGGTGGTCAATCTGAGTGTGGACACACCTGCTGCTCCAGGCATGGGCCAGTAGCCGTGGTGGTGAGGCCATGTTCTTTACCAGACCATGGGCAACAGGGACAAGTGGATGGTGGTGCCAGTGGGTAGGGGAAATATGTTCTGAGAATGAAAATGTCACCCAAACTGCAGAAAGTGGCCCAGAGTCACAGGGCACCCCTGACCTTTCTATCCTACGGGGACGCTGGGTCTAGTTGGCGTGAAAACCAGGACCCCAGTCTTCCTAAGGAGCCAATGGCTGATGTCTCATTTTGTGTGTCTGTGGTGTGAGTGTGTCTGTATATACGCAAGTTTGTTTGTGTCGTAGTCTCTATGTGAGTGTCTACGCTGTGTGTGTGTGTGTTTCTCTGGTCTGTGCATGTGTGTGTGTCTGTATTTGTGGTTTCTGTGTGAATGTCTGAGGTGTATGCTTCTGTGTGTACATTTGAAGTGTGTATGTGCCTGTGTGTGCGTCTATATATGTGTCTGTGGTCTTTTTCTGTGTGCATCTCTGAGCTGTGTGTGTGTGTCTTTGTAAGTGACTGTTTTGTGTGTGCATATGTGCACATACTCAAATGTCAGTTTTTCAATGGTAATGTCCACAGACAAGGTATTGAAGAGTATAGTCCATCCCATATTCCCTCCATAATCTTTCCTGTTTCATTTTTCTCCAGACTCCTCATCGCCATTCAGTATGATATATAATCTACTTAATGATTCTTTGCCTGTCTCTCTTGCCATTAAAATGGAAGCTTCACAAAGGATCTTGTATCTTCCATTTATTGCTGAATCCACTCTGCCTAGAAAAATGCTTGGCATATATTAGGTGATCAATAAATATTTTTTAAAGAATTGTAAGACAATTTAGAATAAGCAAGATGAGATGACTGGCTGTCTTCAATGGAAACTATGCATTCTTTAGAGCTCACACATCCAGAGGTATCCAATTCTAGCATTTTGTTGCCTGTGAACTATTTTACAATGATTTAATTTGAAGAAAATTAATAGCAATGGAAACAGTTAATGTGCACAGATATGCACATCCTGCCCACTGGGAGGCTACTTGAATCCCGCCACCTAGCCGGTTTCACATGTGTTCATAAGGGATGTCACCAGACCCATCCCTAGGCTCCTCCTACTCTGCACAGGGGGCTGGTGAATGGTTGGCCACCAGGGGGCCAGGCAACACGCTGGCCCCTAGGGAGACCCAGGCAGGGGCTGGTGCTGTCCTTGGTGCTGAAACAGGGTCAGGATTGGAGCTGAGGTACCTCCCAACTCTGCAGAAGATCCTGAGCCAAGGTTATGATCCCAGTTTGTGGCCAGGAGTGCAAAGAGGTGGGGATGGATGGAGCCAGGTGAGTAGCAGACAGTCAGGAGTGGGTGGCACTGGTGTCTCTCTGATCCTTCTCCCACCTCTCCTGTTCACTCTCAAGCATCGTCCCTCCTGTGGAGGATGCCTGTCTGCCCCACCTTGCTGAGCCACAGGGCAAGGGGATATTTTTGCTAAGGCACTTTGTTTACTGGCCTCTGTACCGCTCCCTTAAATGGCCTGCTTCATGCCAGCCTCAACAAAACAAAACAAAACAAAAACTCTGAGAGTGAGGAGGCTAGTCTTCACATTTGAAAAGGAGAAAACTGAGTGCCAGGGTTAGGAGTATCAGACACTATGCCCGGATCCCTTCCTTACATTCTGCCCACCTGCCCCAGTGCCTCTGGGCAGGAGAGGATGGTCTCAGGTTTGACGGGAATGGTAAGCACTTCCTGGACACTTATTTCTGGCTCCAATCCATCTCCCTTGCAGGTGGTGTAGGACTCTCCTGATATTGTCAGAGGGGCTCCCCTTCCATCCAGGAGAGGGATGAGCCTTCCTGGCTACCTCCTGTTTCTTGGTCAGGATTTGGAAAATGCTGAGTCTGCATGTCTTTACTCTGTTGGGTGGGGGACCAAGATGCCCTGCCTTGTATTGTTCCTCCAGTCCTGGGGTCCTAAACCAGCTCGCCTTCTTCTTACCACCTTCTAGAATTTTCCTTTGGTTGTCTCTTCACCCATTTATAGTATTTATAACTGTGAATAGATGGGAGAAACAGGGAACAATGCATCAATACCATCTTGTCTGGATTGTAAGTTTAACCATCAATTTTTAATGTTTTCAGCACATGGGTTCACTGATTTGACCCACCCTGACATTATCATAAATGAAAATCTGACTCAACTATCCTTTCTAGATGTGGGCCAGGGAGAGGAGAGGTTAAGTATCAGCATTTTTTACACCACATCAGAATCTTCCCTTTGTTTATTCAAGGTCACTTTATGAACTTATGGCATAATGCTTTGTCTCTGTCATGGCTTGGATGCTGCTGGTGAGTTTGGGGCTATTTCCATTCAAACTGATTTTTATTAAAATTAAAGTCTTATATTTTTTAGGAGGAAGATTATGAGCTCCTTCTTCCCTTCACCTTCTCAAACCAGACATATATTTTTGACCTCAGTTTGAAAGATAAGAAGCTGTTAGTCAGATGATAACATGGTGATGGGCGTTCCTGGAAGAAGGACGTGGATTCACAAAGACAGTGAGGACTGCGTAAGAATTGGGGGGACTTAGAGAATGACTTGAGGGATTGATGGGTTAGGATATGGTGATGGAGAAGTAGGCAGGGTGAGACGAAGAGCAATCTAGAATTGAGGTCAGAAAATCACAGCTCATGGGCTACCTGCTTTGGTAAAAAAAATTTTGTTGGAACACAGCCATGTTAATTCATTTGCAGACTGTTTGTAGTCGCTTTTCTGCTACAAACACGGAGGACAATAGTTGCAGCAGAGACCAAACAGCTTGCAAAACCTAAAATATGTGCTATCTGGCCCTTTACAACAAAAGTTTCCTGACACCTGACTTAGAACATCAAGAGGAGAATCTTGTAAATTGTTCTTTTGAGCTGAGGAAATAGAAAAGTATTTCAAGTAGGGTCAGCTCTGAATTTAGGAAATTTTCTAAATGTTAATATCTGATTTTTCCTGGAGCAGGACTAGTAGGAGGCAGGCAGAATGGAAAGGGAAGATTCGGGAGTGGAGAAAGATGGTGCTTGAGGCCAAGTCAGGGCAGGGATCAATGGGAGGGCTTTGAGTAGAAAGTGAACTGACATGTTGCTGATGTGGTGTCTGGGACAGAACAGACCCAGCCTCTGGGTGAAATGTCACTAAGGCCTTTCTGTTCAAGGGAGAAGGAACCAGGATGCACCAAACTCTCACAATGTACCAAAACTTCTGCTAGGTGTTTCCATATGTACTTTTATTTAATCCTCACAGCCACCCTGTGAGGTATGATTCTTTTCCCCATTTCACAAAGCAGGAAACTGAGACATGGAAGGCTAGGGTGGCTTGCCTGATGTCATACCTTTAATAAATAAAATAATATATATTTGATCCCAGATCTCCCTGATTGCAAAGCCTAATATATTTCCAGCATAGCGGGAAATTCACATACAGTAGTTTATAAACCCACTGGCTATGGGGATATCAAGTCTCCAAGAATCAGTCTTTGGGTCCCCTTCCTGTAGAGGACATGGATGCTCTGGCTGAGACTGATGATCCAGGTGATCCTTCACTGTGCTCTGTAGGTGCCCTCCTGAGGATTCATCCTGTGAAAACTGATGAAAGAGTAATGCAGCTCCTGATCTATCTCCAAGGTGGAGGCAGTCCCTGCAGAGCTTGTGGGGTCAGCAGGACTGTCCAGCTTGGACTCCTGCTGGTGATCCTGAGTGGAGAGCAAAGAAGAACGTTACAGCAGGGCAACGGATGTGAGGCGGGGAGGACATAGAGGGGGGCCATGAAGTGAATTTGATTCTGACATGACGTTTATTCATTCTTCTAGCCTTTCATAAAATGTTTCTGAGGCTCCCATTTATCTAGATATCCAACAAATATAGCACTTATTGGTTGCTTTCCAACTCCACTTAACACTTACACAGACCTAGGTGGAAAATACTATTATTTTACAGAGGAAGAAGCTAAGTCTCAGAGAGGTTAGTGATCATGGTCTTTCTGAGGTCTCCTATGTTCCGGGAACCGGACACACAGGGAAGTGTTTATGAAAAACTACTCCTCCTGTGTGTCTCTCCTTTACTCTCACACTGCTGTCACACTCACAACTCTTCTGACACTAGATATGCGGGCTTTTCTTTTTTTCCCCACAACAAGCAAACCTCTGTGACACAAGCTGAGTGTCCTACAATTGAACTCAATTCTGACACTCTCTACTTGGAGATAGCCTCAGAACCCACAGGTTAAGGGTTCAGTACCACAAGATTCCCTCTCCTTTAGATGCCAATCTCAAGTCCAGGTTGTCACCTGTGCTTCTGACCAACTGACTAGAAATTGGAGGTTCCCATGGCCCCCTCCTCGGGTTCAATTAATTTGCTATAGTGATTCAGAGAATTCAGGAAAACAGTTTACCTACTGTGTAACAGCTTATAATAAAAAGATATGATAAAATATATAGATGAACATCCAGATGGAAGAGATGCATAGGGCAAGATATACGGGAAAGGCAAGGAGCTTCCATGACTTCTCCGGGAGCACCAATCTCTCAGCACCTACATGTGTTCTCCATCTTGAAACCTTCCCGAACCCCATACTTGTGGGATTTTCATGGAGGTTTCCTCACACAGCCAGGCACAATTAGTAACTGCGTTTCCAGCTCCTCTCCAGTCTCTGGAGAATGGAGTCAGGGATGAAAATTCCCATCCAGGAACCCACTAAGAGTCACCTCATTAAAATAAATGACAGTGCTCTCACCCAGAAAGCCAAGGGATTTAGGAGTACAACCATTTTCTGCTGCACTCATTTCTCAGCTCTAGATTTACTGCAACATTTCTCAAAAGAGTCTTTCCACTTCCCCTCCCCCCATTCTCTCTTGAACTCACTCCAATCAGGATATCTGCCTCTACCAGGCTACCAGACCTGCTTTTGTCAAGATCAGTTGTGATACCACTTAGCTAAATTTAAATGGTCATTTCTCAGACTCTATCCCACTAGATTCATTAGCATTTGAAACTAATGAGCACTCTCTCCTCCTTGAAGCTCCATTTCCCCTTGGCCACCAGGACACAACCCTACACCCTCCAGATCATTAATTCTTTTCTCAGTGGTCTTCTTGCTGTTTCCACCCTATCTCTCTGACTCTATATGCTGGAGGGTCCCAGGGGCCTGTCCATGGACCCCTTCTCTTCTTTTTGGCTTCATACACTATCAGACCTTGATGTGCAGGACATCCAAACCTCTGTGTCTCCCACCTGGACCCCTCTCCTGAGCTCAAAACTCTTGTCATCTATTTGTCATCTTCACTTGGAAGTCTCAGAGGTATCTCAAACTTACAGTAACAAAAATAAATTTTGATACTCTCTTGAAAATAGACTCCTCCTGCAGAGTTGGAAACTTCAGGATTCGACAATTCAATTCTTTAAGTTGCTCAAGGCAACCATATTGGCTTCATCTTTGGTATCTATGAATATTTATAGACATGTATGACGTCTATGGACATCTATAACGTCTATGAATATCTATGACGTATATGGACATCTATGGAGTCATGTTTGACATCTATGACATCTGTGAGGAAGAGGAAGTGAGCTATCTTTGATCACACTCCACTTGTGCTCTATCACTCCATTAACAAATCCTTCTGGCTTCACCTTGACAATGTAAGCAGAACCCAACTTCTTCGCACCAGATTCATCATTGCTAACCTGGAATAAGTCTGTCTACGGACTGAAATGTGTCCCCTGAAATTCATATATTCAAGGTCTATCTCCCAATGTAACTGTATTTGTGGATATGGCCTTTAAAAAGGTAATTAAGTTTAAGTGAGGGCATTAGAGCAAGGCCCAAAATGACTTATATCCTTATAAGAAGTAGAAGACTCTAGGGATGCATGTGCACAAACAAAAGACCATGTGAGGACATAGCAAGAAGGTGGCCATCTTTGCAAGCCAAGGAGAAAGTTTTCAGGAGAAACTAACCCTGTGGGCACATTGATCTTGGACTTCTAGACTTCAGAACACTGAGAAAATAAATCTCTGTAGTTTAAGCAACACAGTCTATGGTATTTTGTTACAGCAGCCCCAGCAAACGAGTACAGTCTGCGTTATGTCTTGCCTGGACTCCTTGAGTGTCTTCCTTATCTAGTCTCCTCTCTTCTCCCCTATATTGCTACATGATTTCTCAAGAGATCAGGCAGAGGGATATCATTAAGATGAGTGTCAGTTCATGTCTGTAACATAATAGAATATATCATCTTTATCTATATCACTATATCTGTACCAGTACAGATACAGATATAGATGATATGGATTTAGATATAGATATAGACATATATCTGCCTCCAGTTTTAATGTTTGGTCTTTGATCAGGGTTCCTGATACAGAGCTCATAAGTCCCTTGGAATTTCATGGGTGATAGGAATGTCTTTTGTTCTAATGAGACGACTCTTGGTGGGCTCCTGGATGGGGGCTGGTCACCAGAAAGACCAAGCCATGATTAGAAGCTTGGAACTTTCAGTCCCACCACCTATCCTCCAGAAAGGGGAGAGAGGCTGGAAATGGAGTTAACACTCAATAATGTCTACATGATGAAGCCGCCATAAAAATCCTAATAGTATGAGGTTCAGGATGCTGCCAGGTTGTGGGTACTGAGAGAACAGTGCTTCCAGAGAAGGCATGGAAGCTCCATGCCTCTTCCCACATACCACGCCCTATGAATCTATTCATCTGGATGTTCATCTGTATCCTTTATCATATCCTTTTATAATAAGCTGGTACATGGTAAGCAAACTGTTTTCCTAAATTCTGTGAGCCAATCTAGCACATTATGGAACCCAAGGAGGGAATCGTGAGAACATTCAATTTATAGCCAGTTGGTAAGAAGCACAGGTGACAACCTGGACTTGAGATTGGTATCTGCAGTGAGGATGGGGGTACAGTCTCGTGGGACTGAGCTCTTAACTTGTGAGGTCTGACACTATCTCCAATTTGGTAGGATGCCTAGCTGATGTCACAGAGAATTGCTTTATGCGGGGAAAACCACTACACATCGGGTATCAGAAGTGTCAGAAGTGAAGTGTTTTGTGTGAGTAGCAAAGGAGACACACACAGAAGTTATCGCTCTTCTCAAAATATATAAGTAGTGATGGTGAACCTGCGATATCTGCAGCCACCATGCCTCTCCATCCTCATTTCCTCCCCACCATTACCCTCTACCCACCCCACATAGCTCTGTTTTAGGAACATTGTCTTACTTGCTGTTTCTCCAACACATCAGGGATGGTCCCACCTCAGAGCCCTAGAACTTGCTGCTCCATCTGTTTAGAGCCCTCAGTGATCCTCTCTCAGGGCTCGCACAGCACTCCTTCATCTCCTGAAGGTTTTCTTAGAGATTCCAGCTCCCAGGAGAGTCCCTTCCCATTCTCTTATTTCATTTCTTTCCAGAGAACTCATTTCCTGTATATTTTCACTACTTATTTGTTCACTAAGTTGACACTCCTCTCCAATAAATGTAAGTCCTTGACAGCAGGGACATTTTACATTTGTAACATATGTATTTGTAAAAATAGAGATATTACCCAAGCACTCGGAACAATGGATAAGCAGAAGATAGTTGTTGAAGGAGTGGATGAATGATGCGTGGTTGCTGACCGTGTGTTTGAAACCCTCACAGCTGTGTCCTCACTAGTCAGAGTTAAATAAATAAACGAGGTCAAGTTCAAAGGATGAACAGGAGTAGGACAGGATGATATAGGCATGTGAGGAGGAGGGGACAGCCGAGTAATGATTCTGAGATGCAAGAAGCTGACTCTGCTTATGTGAGCGAGCAGGCCAGTGTGGGAGGAGTGAAGCACTGAAGGGGACTCTGGTTGTCCTGCCCCAAATGCCAGATCAAGGTGTTTGGATGGTCATCTTTTGTCAGTGTGAAGAAGCAATGTATTTCATTGTGGAAGTAATGCTAATGTGCTGAGAAGGAGAGATGGGAGGGGTGCAGCAGGATAAGGACTAAGATGGGAGCTCAACTCAGAGGGAGTGGTTGCATTACGCTGTATTCAGAAGAAACACAGGCAAGCTTTGCAGCATATGGGTGCAGGAAGAGGTGATGGAGGACTGGGGTGGGCCATAGACAGGTCTCTGATTGGGTGTCAGGAACAAGAGTGCCATCGGTGAGATGGAGAGCAGCATGAGAATTATGTTTGGAGGTGTATTAACCATGTGTTCCTGATGTTTGACATCTGGGGCCTTCTGACCTTGGAACTGACCCTGCCAGGGCTAGCGGATATCCAGAGATAGTAAAGGACTTGTCTGCCAGCATGACTTTCATATTGCAAACCAACCAGTCCAAAGGTCACACGCAAACCACTTCCTTTATCAAGCTCTTACACTCCAGACTGTCCTTCTACCGTAATCATCCAGGGGCAGATACCAGACAACTATGGACATCCCCTACACTCCAGATCCTGCTGAAATTATTCAAAGAAGCATGTCTTAAACCTGCTTACCCTGCCTTAACTTGCCTTTCCCACGGAAACCACAATAAAGCCTCTGCCCACGTTTTCTCCTTGATCCCTCTGCCTCCTGACCAGCCCTGGTGCTTCCTCACATGGCCCTGTGTGGTGTGGCATTTTCTCCTCCTCTTGGGAACTGTGAGTGACAACTGTCTCATGATCTGTTGGCTTCACATGCCTGAATACAGTCATGTGTCCCTTAACAACAGGGATATGTTCTGAGAAATGCATCTTTAGGTGATTTCACCACTGTGTGAACATCATAGAGTGAACTTACACAAACCTACATGGTATAGCCTACTACACACCCAGGCTATATGCACTAATCTTTTGGGACCACCATTGTATATGCAGTTTGATGTGGACCGAAACATTGTCATGTGGTGCATGACTAATAATAAAACCTACATTTTCAAACAAGCAGGGAGGGGACAAGCTTATTTCTTTACGTGATTAATGGAGCATGACTGTGGGCCACCCCAGGGAGATGTGGAGGGCAGACTGCATGCCAGGATGCACACATCACTCACCAGGGAAGCTGGTCCTATGGCAGGATGGATGTCATCAATGCCACTGCTGTCCTGGCTGCTTTCTTCCTGTGGGTTTTCACTCTGATGGGAGACACCAGGATCTTTGACACAGGTCACTCTTTTGAGGCTGGAGGGAGTGAATAAGGCAAGACAAGCATGAGGTGAGCCCAGGAGCCTTCATAACAAGACTTGGTAACAAGGTCCCCTCTCCTGCTCATGGATGTCTGAGACCAGGGCTGGGAACACACTCTTGCATGGCCCAGGGCCTACCAGCTGGATTCTCACCATCACTGTACCCTCCAACCTTGCTCTGGGCCCTCAAAACCCCCCACGTCCTTCTTCTCTGCCTCTTGGTCCACACCCAACACAGCTCACATGAAGAAGATGAGGCAGAGGCAGAGAGCAAGCAGTGTGGTGACACCAGCTCCCCCAATGGCCCCCTGAATCACACCTGCCCTGGTCCCTTGGTTCCCCTGGAGACAAGAGAGACTTGGGGTGAACTCCAATCTTTATGACCTGAGTTGTGTCCTCTCCTCTTCAGCACGCAGAGAAGGGCTCCCCTCCCCTTCCATCCAAAGTTCAGCCTCTAGCTTCTCCCACTCATCATAGGACCTCAGCTTCTCCAGAAGGACACGGTCCACATGACACCTCCTTTCCAGGCCCCATATTCCTATTCAACAAACTCCATCTCTTCTAAGACCCAGGTTCTTCTCCATCCAAGTTCTCTCTGCAACAGCCCCCATACCTGGCTGAAGCTGTAGCGTGAGGCTCTGGGCCTTCTGGGAATTCCAAAGAGAGAGTGAAACACAACCCAGAGAGCCCTATGGGATACTGAAAGGCTTTGTCCCTCCTTCCTTCTGGGGAAGCTATTTGAATCTGCTCTCCTGTCTTCTGCAGGTCCCATCCCTCAGGGTCAAAGGTGATCTTTCATGGCTCCAGAAGTGGGTGGAAGCTGGAAATTCTCAGACCTTCAGGACAGAGCAAGACAGCTCTCCTGGCCCTGCCTGACCATGCCTCCTGGGCACCCAACACATAGGGTGAGGGATATGTCTCTGGGTAAAATCAGTCAATAGTTTGATGGGCACCCCTGAGAAATCTCCAATGAGATTCACTGTCCAGTGAGGGGACTAGATGGCATTACCCATGAGAATAGAGCAGTGGGGGGAGCTGGGCCCCAGAAAGAGGTCAGTGATTGACAGTAAAAAAAGAGCCCAAAGAGATTTTGAGGGCAATGAAACTACTCTGCATGATACTATACTGATGGATACACATCAGTATACATTTGTGCAAACCCATAGAATATACAGCATAAAGAGTGAACATTAATGTCGACTATGAACTTTGGGTGATAATGACATGTCCGTGTAGATTCATGGGGTGTAACAAATGTCCCCTCTGGTGGGGGATGTTGATAGTGGAGAGGTTGTGCATGTGTGGGAAAGTGCAGCGGGTACAGGAGAAATCTCTCTAACTTCCTCTCAAATGTTCTGGGGTGCACCTAAAACTGCTCTAAAAAATAAAATCTACTGGGGCCTGCCCGGTGGCTTAGTGGTTAAGTGTGCACGCTCTGCTACTGGCGGCCGGGGTTTGGATCCCGGGCGCGCACGGAAGCACCGCTTCTCCGGCCATGCTGAGGCCGCGTCCCACATACAGCAACTAGAAGGACGTGTAACTATGACATACAACTATCTACTGGGGCTTTGGAGGAAAAGGAAAAAAGAAAAAGGAGGAGTATTGGCAATAGATGTTAGCTCAGGGTTGATCTTCCTCACAAAAATAAAAAAAAATAAATAAAGTCTACCAAAAAATTCCCCTAATGCTTTCAGCGACTGGAGGAAGATAAAGAGCCCATTTATGATGGGCAGGGAGGAAGTTGCTGGTCATGCTGGCAAGACCAGACTTGGAGGATATTGGAGAAAGAAGCCTGAAGGGGGCTTCTCGTGGCTTACTGCAGCCCCTCCACCCCAACGCCACCATCTGGGTTCAGAAAGTCCTGTTCTGACCTGACCTGGCAGAGACCTTACCCTAGTCAATGCCTCATGGGAGGGGGATCCTTCCTACCTGTGCCGTCCCCTGCGCAGACACCAATTTCTGGGTTCTCTGGAGCACCTAGGAGGAGAAGAGGGGATTTCCCCCTTCAGTGGACAGGGTGGGGTGAGAGAAATGTAGGCATCCCTTGACCCCCAGGACCCACAGAAATGCAGGTGGGAGAGCACTGGTATCCTTCTAGGGCCCCTACTCAGCCAGGCAACCTAGACAAAAGAACCAAGTGTCCCTAGCCTGGCCCTCCTGCCCTCTCCACACCCTCAGGGACCCGGGCATCCTGGCCCAGCACTCACAGGTGACGTTGGGTTGCATGGTCCTTTCCACAGTCACGCCAGATGCAGGGAACTTCACCTGACAGATCAGGCTGGAGCTGTGGTCCTGGGGCCGTGGGGTGAGGGTGAGCACAGAGGAGAATTGGGTCCTGGGGCCCAGGGAGGCGAGGGCAGCTGATGTCCAGGAGAAGATGGGTGTTGTGGCCCACTCACAGGTCCAGGGCACAGAGCAAGTCAGGTTCCTGGGGTGCCCAGTCTCCAGGGTCCCCGGGATGAGGATGTGGGGTACGTGGGTCAGGGTTGGTGAGAAGACGGGGAGTCACAGGGATCAGGAGAGAGGGTGTGAGCTGTGGTCCCCAAAGCAGCCTCAAGCTTGGGTCCAGCTCCTCCCTCTGAGCCCTGGCACACTGTACCCTTAAACCCCTCAAGGAGGAGGGTGTCATCCCAGTGTTGCCTTGGCCCCCGTGTCCTTTCTGTGTGGCATGTCCTGGAACACACTCCTTACCCGTCACGTGCACTGACAGATGGTTAAATACATAGGTCCATTTTTCCTTTCCTCTCTCCACCTGAAAAAAATATTTTCCCTTGTCTCTCTTCCTGGCATCTCCGATGTCCAGGGAGCAGCTGTGGGTCCCGGGGTCTCCGAGGAGGTGGGATCGGCCCTGGGTGTCTTCCTGCAGTTTTCGATCTGGGTTGTTTGTGTCCACAGGAGCACGTTGGTGTACGTGGATCCCTTCTCTGAACCAGTAGCCGTGAGCTGGGGCAGAGGCAGTCCATTGGACCCAGGGATAGGAGAAGGTGCCGGGCACAGAGATGCACAGGCCCTCCTGCACGGTCATGGACTCCGGCACTTCCAACCAGTATTTTTCATGCTGACCCAGAGACCCTATGGGGAAAAGAGGGTCAGCACCAGTCCTCACCCCAACGGCCCCCTCTCCCCTTGGACCACTCACCTGCACACAGCAGGGGCAGCAACAGTGGCAGCATCATTGAGATGAAGAGTTCTGAGTGTCTGTCCTGTGTCTGGAAAGAAAAGAGGAAGATGAGTGAGAGGGGAGGCTGCAGGGAGACCCACAGGAAGCTGGGGAGGAGCACTCCTCCTCAGCCTCTCACAGAAGAGAAACTGCATGCTGGAGTTTACTCTCCCTCTGCACAAACAGGGGGGACACCCCACAACCAAGAGACCCTGAGACTCACCCAGAGGTGAGAGGACAAGGAGCAGACCCCGTGTCCTGACTCCATCTGCGGGTTTCCCTCTAGTACTGGAGCCTGCACCAGGGCCTCTGAGGACATCTGAGGAGTGCGACACAGTGAGTGTCTAAGGGCCTCCCATCTGAGGTGTTTTCTGAGCCCTGGTGTCTACACCAGGGAGCTGGTCAGCTCCTCCTGGACTCCAGAGGGTCACAGTCTCACCTAGAGCCTAGTGAGCATTTATGTGTTTGGGAGGCTGGAGACAAGAAGGGAGATGACCCACCTGGTCCATGCCCCTGAGATGCTCCCCACCGAGTGGCATCACTTCCTCCCCAAACACTCAGTACTGTCAGGCTTTAGAGCTGCAGTCACTGGTCAGTTTGCTGTGTGTCTTGGTAGCATATTGAGTATTTTCTAAAATATGAGAATGGGATTTTTTATTATTTTACTTCTTGCATGCTGATTCTTGAAATTTCAATGGCATCTACAAAATAAAAACCATGTGGCATCTTCATGTAAAAAAAAAAGGAAGAACACATGTTCTCGGGGCCAAGGCAGAGGACACTTGTTTTCCCTGAATGCTGCTGTTCAGTGTTGTGTGGACTGCAGGGAACTTTTTTAGATCCTCATTATGCAGATGTCATGTAAAATATTTTTTTCTCATAGTTATGTGTGGCTCACAAGGCATAATATTTCTAGAAAACATAAGCGGAAAATGCAGCTACAATCAAAATTTTGGGATGAGCTCATGTGGTTTTGCATCTCGCTCTGTGTCTTGTGAGTAGGGCAAACTCTTGACACCTGTGACATAATAGCATTTGCCACTCTCGATTTATAAAATCGTTCAAATACAGTAGTATCTAGATGACTATTACTTCAACCTTACTGAGAGAGAGAGATTTTGCACCCTCATTTTATATATAGGGGATAGAGTCAAATAAGTAAAATAATACTATTGTTAGGTTATTAAAAATAGAAACCCCATATAATAGAAACCCCAATACAACTCATTTCACAGTCAAGAAAGTTATACCATGTTCATGGACTGGAAGGTTCTGTGAGTTCTAATTGTTTTTCTTTAATGAACTTTATAATTTACATAAAATAAACTGTACCCACTTGAAAGGTACATTTCTATGAATTTTGACAAATGCATACAGCTCAGTTAAGGCCTCCACAATCGGGAGAGAGAACATTTCCACTACCCCAAAAGGTTTTCCCAAACCTCTTTGCAGCTCATCACTCCCACCTCCACCTCAGGTGACCATTGATATACTCTCTGTCTTGGTGAATTAATTTTGTCTATTGGAGAATTTCCTAGAAATGTACTCATTTGTGTCTAGATTCTATCACTCAGCCTAGTATTTTTGAAATGGATCCAAGTTGCATGTTTCTGTAGTTCATAATGTCTGATTACTAAGTTGTATTCCGTTATGTGGGTATACTGTAATCTTTTGTTTATTCACCTATTGACAGACATTTGAGACTTTTGAGTTGTTGGCAATAAATATTAAGGAATATGTCTTTCTATGAACATACTTTCATCCCCACGAGTACACACAGGACTGGAATTGTTAGATCAAAGCATAACCACATGTTTAACTTCAGTAGAAATTGCCAAATTATTGTCCAGGTAGTTTTAACCCATACTCCCGTCTGTAAAGTACTAGAATTCTGGTGCTTCACATCCTCATTAACACTTGGGATTGTCAGTATTTTAAATTTTAACAATTCTAGTGGGAATTCAATGCTATGTCATTGTGTTTTTAATTTTAATTTATTTAAAATTTAGATACAATGAGATTCACTCTTTATTTTATACAATTCTATGAGGTTTGACAGATGTATATCATAAGTAACCACGACCACATTCAAGATACTGAAGATAACTCTTACCCAGTACTTTCTCTCGTGCTGTCCCTGGGGAGCCAAATTCTCCCTCCATCCATAATCCCTCAAAAAATGATGATCTTTTCTCCATTTCTATTGTTTTGCTCTTTAAGAATGTCATAGGAACGGAATCAGGTAAAAAGTAGTCTTCAAAATCTAGCTTCATCCACCTGGCGTAATGCATTTGAGGGCTCTCTATGTTATTGGGTGTATGTATCAATAATTTGTTCCTTTTAAATGCTGACTGACATGCCATTGTTTCTATGCACCCTGTTTTGTATACACTAACCAGCTGAAGAACATTTGTATTGTTTCCAGGTTTTGGAGTGACTATGAATAAAGCTGCTATAAAGATTCACATGCAGGTCTTGTGGGAACATGGGTTTTTATTTCTCTTGGGTAGACACCTAGGAGTCAAATTGCTCAATTCGATGATAAGTGTAAGCTTAACTTTATGTGAAATTGCAAACTGTTCTCCAACGTGGCTGTACATTGATGTTCCCACCAGCACTGTGTGTGAGTTCTGGCGGCTCCACATCCTAATTATCATTTGCTATCATCAGAATTTGTTTTCTTATTTTTCTTTTTCTCTAGTTTTTATTTATTCTAATAGGTGTGTATCTCATCTTGGCTTTAGTCTGTGATTTCCTAATGACAAGTGATGTTGAACATGTTTTCATGTGCTTACTTGTCATCTGTTTTTCTTCTTTGATGAAGTGGAATTAAATCTTTGGCTGTTTTTTTTTACTATCATGATAAAATATAAGTAACAAAACTACCATTTAACCTTTTTAATTGTTTAGGTTAGTGGCATTAAGTACGTGCACATTGTTGACAACTATCACTACCATCCATCTCCAGAACTTTTTTAATCTTCCCAAACTGAAATTGTGCCCATTACATGAATAGCTCTGCATTTCCCCTGCCCAAGACCCTGGCAACCACCATTCTACTTTCTGTGTGTCTATGAATTTGCCTACTCTAGATACTTCATTGAAGTGGAATCTACAGTATTTGCCCTCTTGTGACTGACTTATTTCACTTAGCCTAGTGTCTCCAATCCACATTGAGGCATGTGTCAGTATTTCCTTCCTTTTAAGTGCTAAACAATATTCCATTGTATGTGTTTTCCATATTTAGTTAATCCATTCCTCTGTGGATGGACCTTTGGGTTGCTTCCACCTTTTCATCATTATCAATAGTGCTGCTAAGATCATGAGTGCACAGATATCTATTCAAGTTCCTGCTTTTGATTCTTTGGGTACACATCCATAAGTGAAAATACTGGAACATGTAGTTATACTATTTTTAATCTTTTGAGGAACTTCCAGAGTGTCTTCCACAGCAGATACACAATTTTACAATCTCAAAAGCAAAGCACAGGAGTTCACTTTCTTCACATCCTCATCAATACTTATTTCTCCTTTCTTTCTCTTTTTAAATATCCACCCTAATGGGTGTGAATGGGTACCTCCTTGTGTGGTTAAATTTGCATTTTCCTAATACTAGAAATGTTTATCATGTTTTCAGTGGTTATTGGGGATGTGTATATCTTTAGAGAAATGTCTATTCAAATCCTTGGCCAATTTTTACTTAAGAGTGCTTGTATTTTTGTTGTTGAGAAGCTGGTTGTGTAAATACACATAAAATCAGATTCTTTTGTTGTTGTTGTTTGCTTACTGATGTTTTGTTTTGAGAGTCCTTGTTATATTCTATATATGAGTCATCCATCATATATGTATTTACAGATATATTCTCCCAGTCTGTAACTCTTAGCTCTCTTCATAGTGGCTTTTTTGGAGTGGCAGGCCCCCATTCCCCAAGGACATGTGTGCCCCATGAGGTGACTCACAGGTGTGTCAGGAGGTGGAAGGGCAGAGCAAAGAAGATTAAGGGGAGAAGATCTGGAGGCTCCATGGGGACATTCAGGGTGCAAAGGTCATGTGAGAAGTGCAAGGGACTGAATCATGGCCACCCAAAGACACCCAGGTCTTAATCTCTGGATCCTGTAAACGGTCCCTTATAAGGAAGAAGGGCCTTTGCGGGTGTGATTAAGGTAAGGACCTTGACCTGTGGAGATGATCCTAGGTTATCTGCATTGGTCCCTAAATATAGTCACAAATGTCCTTCGAAGAGAGAAGCAGAAGGTGATGTTCTACACACAGAGGAGGATGAGCAATGTGACCACAGAGACAGAGTGATGTGACCACAAGTCAAGGTATGCTGGCAGCACAATCATGTGGGAGAAGTAAGAGATGCATTGTCTCCTTGAGCCTCTGAGGGAGTGTGACCTACCACCAACTTGTTTTCTGCCCAGCATAACAGATTTTGGATGATGGGGTTCAGGACACATTACCCCAAGTTGTGGAACCTTTGCATAGTGAATATTTCAAGCTGGAGGAAATAGAGAATTGGCATGTGCAGGAAGGACTCTATGACTTCCCTTAAAGTGGGTCATAAACCCTCACCGAGAGTTGCCCTCCATGTACTGGAGGAAAGGAGTATCTTATCTCCTAAGATCAATGACACAGAGAGGAATCTGAAGGAAAAGACCTTGCTATGTTTCTCCCAGTTTACTGCACTTAGCTCACACTCTTTGTTTTATTATCTCTCGCCACCATTTTCCACTTTGTATCAAATCTATCAGGAAAATGCTCAGGTTTAACCATTGATTCAGGTCTTCATTTCTTTATGAAGGCTCCTGTGCAACATTAAACTTATATTCAATACATATGTTTCCTTTTCTCTTGTTAATTTGTCTTGTGTTACAGGATCCCAGTTGAGAACTTGCAAGGACAGAGGGAAAATATTTATCCTCCTCTCCATGGATTTATGAGCTCTAGCACTGTGACAGAATAAGTTTCTTTTGTTTTAGATAGCGAGTATGCAGACATTTGTGACAGTGGCCC